ATCTCTTAATTAGATTTCTTCTACCTATGATATTTTGATGTTACTTTGATAAATATTTAGAATTATCCATCAGTATTAAGTTTTCTCCAATGTATATTTCAGATAGCATTTAACTAATTTACATTCATGTCATTTGATTTTACTTTACATAATTTAATATGATTAATTCTTAAACTTGTCTGATCTTTTCTTGTAACTCAGCCCATTACTTTGGATTTAGTTCTGTTCATCTGTTTCATAACGTGTTTTAAGTTGAGAATTACCAGTACATCATTGTCATATTTAAATTGCATAATGTCCTTCTTCTTCAGTTTGCAATAAAGTCACTGACCAGTGCCTAACCTATTTCAAACGCTGTGGTAACATCTGCCGAATAGACCTCCGTTACTGCAAACAGGTAACAAAAGAAGGTTGTGAACAATTCATTGCAGAGATGTCTGTTAGTGTTCAGTTCAGTTTGTCAGAGGAAAAACTGTTACAAAAACTCAGTTAACTAAGCAAAATGAGGAACCGGACCATGCAACAGGATGCTTAATTTCTTCCGAGATTTAATTATATCCAGATTCTGCTTCAAGTTACTGGCATCAGACAGAAGGACAAGGATGAACTGTGGAGAGGACAAAAGCTGCTTATCCTAACAAAAACTTTTCCACATCTGAAAATCAGTCCGAATTCAAATTTATTTCTTAAGTTTTAATAATGTTATAAAAAGACACTGATGCACAAGTGTTTGTATTTGTATAAACCTACGTGGCAAGAGGGGAAAAAAAATTGAAAAAAACTAACTTTTTTGTGCACGTTTTACAACTAAAGCATGTGCAGTGTAAATTTTAATTTCAGTTCTTTTAAAAAGAGTCTTAAAACAAAGATATCTTAGACATATCGGACCACACATTTTGACCATGTTATAAATATTGTTGTTTTGTTAAACTCTACATATCATACATTATGCAGAAATATTTTTGTACAGAAATTACTTTATTGAGAGTAGTGTGGAAATTTCAATAGTAACATTATTACTTATATACAATTGAATTCCAATTTATTTCAATTTCCGTTTGTTACTTGTGGTTTAATCTCTGTAAAGTTTCACATGTTCTATGTGGAATGATCTTTGTGATGTTTGTATGTGCCATCATTGCATGCCTTTAAGGCAAGCAGCTTAGCAGCAGTAATAATACTGTAAAGTGACAAGATATTGGTTTTCCACCATTTACTGTTTGTCATTGCTGAATTTGTATAAAACCTGTCTTGAAAGCTGTGTACTGAACTATTGTTAGATTCACAGGGGAACAATACTCGAGGTGCTGTACAACATAA